AAAATTTTGAACGAAGCGGTGTCGCGTGACATAAATTGTGTCTTGTTGTGTTGGTAATGTGCTTGCTTTTTCTCTAAAAGGTCAAAGGTTCAAACTTCAACTAGGACATTTTTCTTTTCCAAATATTTGAGAGGGCCTTTGTTGTAAAAATTGTGATGAAGTAGAATTGAACACCTTTTCTAACTTAAGACTCAACAAAATCAATAGACTAAGGTAATTTTTTGTCTAAAAGTATGATAATCAAAGTTATACTCCAGTTCTTTTATAAATTTCGACACCACTTACAAAATTTCCTGCGTACGCCCCTGTTGACATATTGCCTAGGGACATGTTAGGCATGTTCAGTAAACTAGTATTAGAATATATGCGATGCGCAAAAAATATTAAAGAATATTAAGCATTTTAAATTATAATTTATCTTTTTAGTAATATTATATCATGTTGTGTTAATAGAATTCCAACTGGCACCTTACTTCTCCATACAATATTTTATTAATTAAATCCATATGAAATTAAAGAAAAACTAACCATATGATCATTGTATAACTTTTTATTTTTTAAAGTATTATTATACTATCAATATTATATTTTTAGCGCATCGTTTGGCTTAATATCATTGTCCACTACCTCCTTTTAATATAGCATTAATATTTCTTACTTCTTAAAAATTATTTTAAAATTTTTATTTTATTATTCATGATTCTTCAATTTGCTAAATCAATTATCAATAAATGTATTAAGAATATAAGAAATTAAAGTTAATTTGATTTCAGAAATTTGACATATTGACTAGGGACATGTTAGGCATGTCCATTAAATAGGTTGGCCACTAACTACCAATCTGTCTATCTTGTAGGTTCTTCTTTGCTGCACTATTATAGATATTTTTATTTTTATTTTTATTTTTATTTTTATTTTTATTTTTTTATCTTGTAAAAATCTTGAAAACTTTGTGATAGTTTTAATATGAAAGAGAAATATATAGATTCTACAACACAACTACACTTCTACCTCTAATAAGTTGGGCTATGCTATATGAATTTTTATTGAATATTTTACTCAATTTTTTTTTTCAGAACAATATTATGAGAAATAAAAAGAAAAATAAAAATATTAAAAGTTTCCTTCCTTTGTAACTTTCAAAACTTTTTCGTAGTTCCCTTGCATGCCTCGTTTCAGAGAGAACCTAAATAGCTTTCTATATTTTTAACTGAGAAGAAATTTATGGATTCTACACTCGGAATAAATTAAATACAAAATGTAATATAATTTTTACAACATAAAGTAAAATGGAACATAAAAAAAAAATTGAAGCAGGAAAGGGCAACCCGATGCATGAAGTATCTTACATTTAGGCAGGACCAGGGCCGCAACTAAAGGGTGTGATGTAGACAGTCTATCTAAATGCAAGCATTGGTGGCTACTTCTATAACTCGAACGCATAACATATAAGTCATACGGAAACGACTTTACTGTTGCTCCAAAGCTCCCGTTCAATAATAATGTAAAATGGAACATAAGAAAAAATGCTTGAAGCAGGAAAGGGTAACCCGATGCATGAAGTATCTTGTATTACTTAGGGTCCGGGGAAAGCCCACAACTAAGGAGTGTGATGTAGACAACCTATCTAAATGAAAGTATTAGTGGCTACTTCTATGACTCAAACGCATAACGTATAAGTCATACGGAAACAACCTTATTGTTGCTTCAAAGCTCCCCTTCAACGATAATGAAAAATGGAACATAAGAAAAAGCGCTTGAAGCAAGAAAGAGCAGCCCGATGCATGAAGTATCATGCATTTACGTAGGGTCGGGGGAAGGGCCCACAACTAAGGAGTGTGATATAAACAGCCTACCTAAATGCAAACATTAGTGGCTACATCTATGACTCGAACGCCTAACATATAAGTCATACGGAAACAACTTTACTGTTGCTCCAAAGCTCCCCTAATTCAACGATAATGAAAAATGGAACATAAGAAAAAACGCTTGAAGCAGGAAAGGGCGCCCGATGCATGAAGTATAATTTCATTTAGGCAGGGTCCGAAGAAGTGTCACAACTAAGGGGTGTGCTATAAGCAGCATATCTAAATGCAAGCATTAGTGGCTACTTCTATGACTTAAACGCATACCAGATACTAATCATACGAAATAACTTTACTGTTGCTCCAAAGTTCTCCAAACAATAATGAAAAATGGAACATAAGAAAAAACACTTGAATGGCACAGCAAGCACTTCATTAATTAAACATCAAAATAACACACATCTCCCAACAGTGAAATGGACATATGGCATAATCAGCACCTTTTAGTTCATTCTTCAAAAGTCTAATCAATTTCTAGAATTCCCTTTACGTGGCAATCAACGCTGGGTTGGAAGCTGCCAAGTTCAAATTTTCATTCCCTTTTTTTTTTTTTTCT